TTGTTAATCGGGCAGCGGGCACGCGTTGATGTTCAAAGGTCGTTTCACGTGAATTCACATGTAACATAATCCTTGACTATGAACGTGACAAGCTGCACAGTTTTCGATAGCAACAGCTTTTCATAGTAACATTGAAATTTTTTCTTCAAATTAGGATTGTTCATTAGTTAGTTTTTCAAAACAAGTTGTTACTTTTGCTCTGACAGGCGTGAAGTACGGTCGGCGACGCAAAACAATAGTTTTGTAATTTGAAAAATCGCTGAATAAACAAGGGAGTCGGTCTTCTATGTTCTTTAAATATTTTTGCCTTTTTTGACTGCTGTGTCTGCGAGGATAAAACATAACTAAGATTGTTATTCCAATAAAATACGATGCATAAAAAAGAAAAGAGACGACTATTATAATTGTGATTGTTCTAGAATCGGGTGTACAGGGGGTATAAATCTATAAAATCCCGCATTGTCTTTCGTGTCGTGACAAGGCATTACGTATCACGTACTAAAAATAAATACGCAAAAGCTAACCGAATCTACATTTGTCCTGAACATTTCACCGATAATATAGAAAGGAAATACTTCTGTTTTGCGCTTAAAAGACGACTTTACAACAAGATGATCTATTCAAAAGAGATAATAGTTTTGGGGCGGCCCCCGGTGGGGGGGAGGGGGGCACTTCCTTATAAAGAGGCTAATAGAGATGTGCTGCTGGATGGGGTCGCATTTTCACGACTAGATTGAACATTAATGGGGTTGCATTTTCAAAAGAGTTACTAGAATGGGGTCGCACATTTTCGGATTTTTGGGGTAAGAGAGCTGTTCATATTTACGGTTAGCAAACCTATCAGGATATTTGTACTCCGGGTGAAAAGTAAAGTGTTCTTCATTCGATTTATTAAAAAAATAGGTCAATTCATTTCTTGATGACCTATTTAAAGGATTGATAAGGTAGATACATAAATAGAAAGTGACTAACTTGGGATCGCAAAAATTACATATTTCCCCAAGAGTGACTAATATGGGGTCTACAATATTGGCCACAGAAAAGACTATAATGGGGTAGGGGTTCTGAGAGGCCAGCGGCACATACCCAGCAAAAATTAACGCAAGTAACCCCCCGGGGGGGGGGGGGCGCCGCGGTTTCGTTGAAATCATAACAGTTTTCCTGGAAAGCTCCACGCGATCTCAGTCAATCTTAACAAGCAAATTTTCTTTTCAACCTAAACAGGAGCTCCTGACCTAAATCACAATGATTAGTAAAAAGAATAGTGCCCTTATTTTTGACCCCAAATTTATTTTTCTATTTAAAAAACATGAAATGTTCGGCGGCGTTGTCCATGTTTCTCATATGGCGCGAAAACTTACTTTCATATGACAACATGCGGGTTTTTTTTTTTTTCGCACGCTCAGGAGGTCAAAGGGATGTGATTTTTCATGAAAAAAATGTTCACAAAATTCTGCTTGACTTGTTAAGAAAATAATTTGTTTAATGTTTAATAATTAACTAACAGCTCATTGATTTATTAATTTGGGCGACCAACTTAGAGGCCCGGGTACCCCAGCTAAAAATGCTTGGGGAGCCTAAAGGGCTCTCTGAAATTTTCCCTAGAGCACTTCCTTGCAGCCCTGTAGTTATTGGAAGTATGATACATTACACGCTATTGTTAAATGTGGAAGTGCATTTTTTGAGGACATTTGTAAAGGAATGCAAATTTTAGTGAACTACCCCATACTCCTAACATATATGGTGGTAATATTGATGTAAGTTTTGGTTTGAGTAGCAAAGGAACCCATGTGTGTAACTCATCTTCTTGTGTATTAGTCCTTAACAGAACATCTCCGTCTCTCCTGCACACATCTGTTGCATACACTACTCAACTTCCATTTCCATCCAACATACCCGTAATTCTTTCTGAAACCCACACATCCCGCGTAAGCGCCTTCGGGCGTCTTCTTGTCGTTCTTAAATTGTACTTGTTTTCTTTGAGGCACATTTCAAGCTCGATTTCCAAGCTCTGTTATCTAAACTTACACCTTTGAATGTTTCTCTGTTTTCATGTTACAGGGTCAAGATCCAGCTTGGCAAACAGCCAACCGTAAGTGAGCTTGACATGGACAAAATTTTCCTACGAGCCAAATAAAAGTACCCAGACAAAAAATATTAACTCCGATATTTCAATTGTGTGTTTTTAGTTCGCTCTTTTCGTTAGAATATCGTATAAATGAAACGCATTGAAAATTATATAGAATAGTAGGTAATACCATGTACTAACTCGGCGTGGGAATACTGAAATAAAGTTGTTGCCGTTGTTGTTGTTGTTGCATGCGAGTATTTCCCCGGAATTATTTCAATACTAAACTAAGAATACGGTTCCTTGGTAGCATTTTAATGTTCCTGTAATTTGCAAGGCTTCGGCAAGCCTTCGGAGATCATTTTTTTTTTCAACACGAAATTCTGCCTTGAATTCAGCTGCATCCCGCATGTTTTTTTAGCGTGAAGGGAT